ATACTGGGCAATTAGATGAAAAGTTCAGGAGGTCCAATATCCAAATAATAGAAGTTCTAGGAATATGAATAGAGAAAGTGCTGGAGGAAATCCTCAATTAAATCATTCAAGACAATTTCTGAGAGCTGAAGGACATACATTTCCACATTGAAAGACCAGCATAAAGGATGGGGAAAGACCCACTCAAAGACACATTACCATGGAATTTTAGAGCACTGGAGGGGGGAAAAAGATTCTCTAGATTTCCAGCGAAAAGGGGGGAAATTTTAAAAAGGATTATACAGCAGAATAACATCAGGCTTCTCAACAGTAACAATGTTTGCAAGAAGATAATGAAGGAATACCTTGTAAATTTTTTTAAAGATTTTATTTATTTATTTGACACAGAGAGAGAGAGAGAGAGAGATCACAAGTAGGCAGAGAGGCAGGCAGAGAGAGGGGGGGAAGCAGGCTCCCCGCCCAGCAGAAAGCCCAATTCGAGACTCGATCCGAGGACCCTGAAATCATTATCTGAGCCGAAGGCAGAGGCTTAACCCACTGAGCCACCCAGGCGCCCCAGAATACCTTGTAAATTATTATCCCAATCTAACATTTTATATCTAGCCAATCTCTCCATCCAGGGTGAGAGCTGAATAATGAGCTAGAGAAATTGTCCTACTGTCAGCAAAGAGTGGAAGAGCTCTGGATGGAACCAATGGTACCACTTCAGTTCTAACAGAGCATCAGGAAGAAACTCTGTCCAATGATAATACTCAAGGATTTGATAAATTGGGATTCATCCCCCCAGTATACTTCAATGTCACTTACGGACCAGATACTTGGTGTTGGGAATACACATACTAATTTCTATTGGGAATCTAGATATGTCATTTGACTTCCCTATGCCTTACTTTCTCTACTTATAAAATGGATCTAATGCTCACCTATGATGAGTCACAAAGATGATGGAAAAGACAAGAGGATAAGAGATAAGAGTAATTTTAGCTCCTGAAGGAATATGATGAACAAATATGAATCTAATTCTTTCTTTGTGTAACTCTATAACAGACACTGAGTTTTGTCTGCCTAGAAAACATTCTATTCCTTTCCAACTCCTATTCCAACTTTTTTTTAAAGCTATTTATTTATTTGAGAGAGAGAGAAAGGGAGTGAGAAGAGAGAGAGAGAGAAAGTGGAGGGAAGGGAAGAGGGAGAGGGAGAGAGAATCCTTGAGCAGACTCCTGGCTGAGCACAGAGCCCAATATGGGATTCAATCCCAGGACCCTGAGATCATGACCTTAGCCACGGACACTTAACCAACTGAGCCACCCAGGTGTCCCTCAACTTCAAGGTGGATGGTGAACTCCACTCCTGGACACAGTTGATTGGTTTGGGGTGGACACCTGGCCTTTCTGAGCCAATCAGAATCATGCCCTGGGATTCCAAAACTGGACCTGAGGTAAAAAAAAAAAAAAAAAAAAAAAAAACAACCTCAATTTCTCTGCAGGTGGCTGGAAATGTTGTATAAACTCCAGTGCTGTTTGCTTCAATATTCCAACATCCAGTCAGAGGAGAAGAAATAGCATGTTGGCTACAAGGAATGATGCAGTCAAAAAAGGCACAAGACAGTGACCAAGGTGAGAGATGGAGAGAGAGCACTTCTTGACTTGCCAGCCTTACTCCATTGCCAATCCCATTCCTTTAAGGACATGCATCGGTCCAACAGATTCCCTCCTTTTTGGACTCCTCAAAATTTTATTTCCTAGGGTGATCAAAATTTTTTATTACAGCAAAATACACATAACATAAAAATTGGCTATTTTGATCATTTTAAGTGTGCAACTCAGTGGCACCAGGAATGTTTGCATTGCTGTAGGACCATCACAACCATCTACCTCCAGAACTATTTCTTCTTCCCAAATGGAAACTCTGTCCCCATTAAACAATAACTCACTGTACATGTTCACTTACCATATGTTTCAGCTATTTTACTCCTGGGTATTTACCCAAGAGAAATAATAGTGTATGTCCATATAAAGACTCAAAGCCAAATGTAATTTTATTTATTTATTTTTTTAAAGATTTTATTTATTTATTTGACAGACAGAGATCACAAGTAGGCAGAGAGGCAGGCAGAGAGAGAGGAGGAAGCAGGCTCCCTGCTGAGCAGAGAGCCCGATGCGGGGCTCGATCCCAGGACACTGGGATCACGACCTGAGCCGAAGGCAGAGGCTTTAACCCACTGAGCCACCCAGGTGCCCGCCAAATGTAATTTTAATAGCCAAATTCAGAAACTGTCCAAATATCCACTGACAAGTAAGTGGATAAATAGTGGTATATCCATTCAGTGGAATACTACCAGGAAAAGAAAAGGAATGAAGTATTGATACACAACACAACATGGATGAACCTCAAAATAATTACACTGTATAAAACAACTCAGAAGAGTACATATGGTATACTTTCACTTATATAAAATTCTAAAAAACACAAACTAATCTAGAGTACCAGAAAACAGATTGGTGGTTGTTTGTGGTTGGGGAGGTTAGTGGAGTAGAGGCTGAAGAATTGTGGAAGGGTAGGATGGAGGAATCAGAAGGGCCCACAAGGAAACTGTTGGTGGTGGTATATACATTCATGACCTTGATAGTAATGATGGCTTCACAGGTGTGTGTGTGTGTGTGTGAGAGAGAGAGAGAGAGAGTGAGAGAGAGAAACAAAATCAAAGTATATACTTTAAATATGTGCAATTCATTGTATATCAAATTTTCATCAATAAAACTTTTAATACTAGATACTAGAGACAGTGAGTGGTGTCTTCAATATTTTAAAGAATTATTTACAACCCAGAGTTCTGTAACTAGCTAAACTGTTAATTTTATTCTAGTGGAGGAGACAAATAATAAACAAATAATTGCACAGTGATTTAAAATCAATTGTTATAAATGATAAGATGATGAAGGGCAGTGTGTTAGTAGAACATATAACAGTGGACTTGACCCGGTATGGGTCACCTTCCTCTTCCATACTCTCAGAAATTAGTGAGTTGCCCATAGTTTTTCAACCAGTAGGAGAGGGAGAATCAGAATCTTGTCTTCCTACTTAGGCAGTCTGTGGTCTTTGGAATGTGCCTTTAAGTTTGGGCCAATAACCTTCTTTTTGTTATTCATACTCATAGGGAGAGCCAGCTAGACTTTGGATTAATTAACATACTCACCTCTGATTTTAAAAAATATTCAAAACACAAACATTATGATATTTTGTCAGTAGAACCATCCCCATTCCTGAAAGTTAATACCATATCCTTGAGTTTTACAAACATATCAGAATTAAAACAGAACACAGAATTAAAACAACACTATTTGTGGTGGGTCACAAATAAGTGTGTTGACATGGGTTCATCCTGCCTCATGATAGCCCTTCACCAGCAACTGCCAAACAGCCAACAATGTGCTTTCCTACATTGGTTGAAATATTTTGTCTGAAAGTGATAATCTTCAACATTACAGTTTTGCCAAATTCTTTTATTTCACCATAATCTAGGAATTACCCCAACCTGGCATTATACAATTCAAAATAAGTTTTCTTTGCAGGTATGCGCCAAATTCTAGAGACACAGGGAAAAGTAGGATTCAGTCACTGTCCTAAGGAACTCAGTCTGGTAGTGACATCACTAACAAACAAAGAACAACTCTTTGATTATTGGCCACTTATTCTTCACACTTCTTTCCAAAACCCAAAGCTCTCCTAGCATGCTAACACAAAGGGTCATCAAAGAAAATCACACTATATTTTACTTCTTGATATCCTTTTTATTTCTTTTAAAAGATTCAGTTATTTTACAGGGGGAGGGGCAGAGAGAGAGGGAGAGAGAAACACAAGCAGACTCTGTCCTGAGTGCAGAACCCAAGACAGCACTCAATCTCATGAAGTTGAGACCAGACCTGAGACCAAACCAGAGTCTGATGCTCAACCGATGTGCCACCCAGGCACTCCTAATCTCCTTTCTAGTGCTTATCTTCCTTCCTAACTTCAAAAGGGGCATAAAATGCTTGGCATGACTCTCCATTAAAATCCAACTCCTTGGCACCACAGGACTTGGGGAATATTAATCATAAGGGCAATCTTGTTAATCAAAAGGTGGGAGCCCCAACTTGGACCTGCCACTAACAAGATGTGTGTCAAAGCCCCAAAGCCTCCTTCCTTTTCCGGGGGTTTTGTTTGCTCATTTGTAAGATCCACGTCAAAAGCTCGAGTATGTTTCGGCACTTGCTTTGCAGTATCTATACCTAGCTAGTACCATTAAGAGAAAGTTACTTAAGCATTCCAAGAGGCCTCCTTGCAGTAGGGTTTTGACTCAGCAGGCATGGAAGCAATGATGGTCCTGTTCTAATTCCTGTTTCCTCAGAGTCCCAGGGTTTGGGAAGGAATGTGTAAGGGCTTTCCAGCGGGAGCGTCCTTCCAGAGCTGTGTCGCCAGGCAACCCCAGGCATGGCTTAACCCATCCTCGGTGCAGTCTGAAGAACTCCAGCCTGTACTCTCTGCAAAATGTTGGGGAAATTGACACTCTGTGGTGCTGCCCCTTGCCTTCCAGTCTCCCTCGGTCCTCACGGTGCCATTTCAAAGAGCTCAGTCCCAATATGCCAAACCAATGGCCATTCCTGGGAGGGGCTGCCAGGATCAGGTTTTTAGAGAACCAGGACTGCTTGGGCGCGATCTTGGGGAAACCACACCATTCCTCCCTGGGTTTCCAAACAGCCGACAGCCGAACACCTCGGGCCATAACCGAGCCTTACGATCTGTCACATCACCCACGGGCCTGGCCCAGATCTGGTCTGGGAACAGATAGATACCTGTGCTGGAGGCCGGAGTGCAACCTCCTGCGTTGGACACGCCCACGCGTCCGCGGCCCCGCCCCCACTTCCGGCCAGACCGTGATCACGTGCCCTGACCCCGCCCCACAGACACGGCTCCTCTCGCGTTGAGCTTCCCCGCTTCCCTTCCGCCGGAAGTGGGGCGACTTTCCCTTTCCGGCTACGGGTCCCCAAGCGGAGCTGGAGGCCGGACGGGGGAGCCGAGCGGCGGCGGCGGCGGGGGCGGTAATGGCGGAGCTGGTGCAGGGGCAGAGCGCTCCGGTGGGGATGAAAGCCGAGGGCTTCGTGGACGCCCTGCACCGGGTCCGGCAGGTGAGGGCGCGGCCGGCTGGCGGGAGCACGGGAGCCCGAGGCGGGGCCGGGCCGGGCCCGATGGGGAGGAGGGGGTCGGGCCTGGGGGCGAGAGGCAGCCTGGGCTGACGCCTCTCCGGGGCTCGGCCTTTTCTTGGGGCTTCTACAGCCGGAGGAGCCGAGGGATAAGGCACCACCGCGAGGCCCAGGCCCAGCCTGTCGGGCGGCTCTTCTCAGTGCAGCCGCTGGGAAAGGGTTTGCCTGGGTCGCTTGGCCCCACCGCGCCCCCACGCCCGGCTGGACGTGCAGGGCGCCCAGCGTGGGCTTCTGAGGTTCGCGAGGGGTGGGGGCTGGGGAGCTCACCGTGAGGACCGGGGTGTAGACAGAAAGCGGCCGTCTCAGGCCATGTAGCTTCTTAAAACTTGGAAAACATAGTTTTTGAACTTCCTGTATTCAGAGGGTGGAGTGGCAGGAATTCGAGGGTATTTTACTTTTTTGAAGTTACCCTTGGAGAGGGAAGAGAGGAAGATGTTCAGTAAGTGTGGGTGGTCCACAAGACGTAGAAGTCTCTTATGGGCAATAATTTCCTCTCTCGGGGAGAATGTGATACCGACTCATCCCAACAGTGAAGCCTTACCATCAGACAGTGTCGTGCATTTTGGCAGAGTTTAAATAATTTGGGTTTTAAGAGGTTGCATACCTCCCTGGAGAATGAATATGGGACCTGCCAGAAATACTCTGGCTTCTGGCATGGTGCTTAGAGCAGAAATATGTTGTTCTATCCCCTGTAAAACTTACAAGTTACCTCTGACACTTAAACCTTTGCTTCTGAGTGTCTTATACTTATCATCTCTTCCTATTTAATTGTAGGCGTACTAACTGACACCTTAAAAGTTGGGCTGTAACTAATAACTGCTTGATTCCTAACAGAAAGCCACAGGACTCATTGTATTAGAAGAAGGTCTCCACTTGGTCGCTTGAAGATATGGTCTTTACATCTCTTTCCAGTATTCCAGGGGAGGGAACCCTACCTGTTTCCCAGATACTGACTTTTCATTTTAATACTGATGCTCCTATAGACATTATATTGGATCCCAGAACTTTCCAAACCTGTGGTTCCACCTAAAATTGTTTCCGATGACTTGACTTGTTACTTACTGCCTAGGCGTCAACCAGTACAGTAGTGAGTATCCATCTTACTTAGACTTCAGAGCCCACCAGTGGCTGTAATGGATGAACATGCCATCCAGCTCCCCTTGCACCACTCTGCTTGCCGGCGTGTTTCACTGCTTTCCTCTACAGAACAGGGTCCTGAACCTTGTTTCTCACTGGCTACTAATATGTAATGGCTTTCGCTTTGTGCTGATATGTGACAATCACCTGTTGGCCTTCTCTATCCAGGAAGAATTATAGTCACTGCCCTAAAGAGCTCAGATCCTCAGTTTGCAGAAGGCCTGTAGTTGAACATAACATGAATTTTGAACCATTGAGAAGACTTTCTGCTTCTCTTGAGCCAGTGGTTGAACTCATATTCTTGGACAACCTGCTCAAGAGGGAGGGAGACCCTCTGTTAAGTGGCTGACCCAGTGTGGATTGTTGAAGCAGTGGTGTTTACTACTAGCCAAGAAAACTTCATTGGAAATGTTCCCAGCTCTGAAATGCACCATTGACTGGAGCAGTATTAAGCCCAATGGAGACAGTGCTGTGAGTGTATTACTTCTGAATATTAACAGCTCGTGGTCGATACTATCTCCAAGGATTTGATGGCCTTTAAAAACTAAAGAAAAAACAGGTTTGTGGGTAATTTTAGGTTTATGTATAGATTTGAATTGGGCAAGAATGGAATGTTAGAAATTGGAACTGTTGTATGCCTTATAGTAAAGCTCATCTCATTGGGTCTCACATTATTGGGGCATCTGGGTGATGATGGTCCTACTTCATTGTATATGCAGCATGTTGCAGAAATGTGCCTTTTTTTTTTTTTCCCTCTCTAGTAACTGGAAATAAAAGATAAGGTATTTCTGTATTTTAATGATTGCAAAGCTTTCCCCCCCGACCCGACCTTTATGTGCCCTCATAAACACCCACAATAGTCTAGAAAGTCCTCACAAGTTTGTTAGGGAGCAGTAAGCTGTCTTGTGCTCAGTTTATGTAGAAGATCGTAACCAAGTCCAAATCCACCCTGTTGGGATTTGAACCTGCAGTTTCTATTAAGTCTGGTATGTGGAGCCCAGGACCTAATCCACTAGCCTCCTGCCTGGCCTCGTGAAGCCTCCTGCATATCCTTTGGACTCTTTCCAACACAGGGAACCAGCTGTTACTCTCCGTTTCCTCTGAGCGTGGTATTTCTAGATCAAAAGAGAGTCTACGAAGATGTCACATAAAATGTAAAATTTTCTGCAGCAGCGTGAAGTTCAGTGAGTTAATAGTGGTTGGCACAAACGGATGATGCAGCCATTCCATAGGGAACTGTTCAAGTGTAGAAATGTGGTTTGATTCAGTCCCATTGATAAAGAGTTAAGAGTGCTGGGAATTAAAAAAAACACGTCCCGTTCTCCACGTCATTGGCAGATCAGCAAACATATGTTTTTTAAACTCATCGTTTAGAGAGGTCGGGGTCCTCTGAGGGGTGGGATGTGGACTCAAAGCCAGAACACGCTAGGCCGTCCTGTTTTGTGGCCACAGTGCACTTCTACCCTGACCGACCCTGGTTCCTGGAGGACCTCATGGAGATTATGGAGAAGTAGGTACAACTCTGTTCTGTTTGGTTTGTTTTCTCTAAAAGCAAACGTGTTCCCAGAGAGCCCGCTGCTGGTGGTTGAGTAGCCCCCGGCATGCAGTGCACACATTCGTGTGCCAAGAGGACAGTGTAACACCAGTGTCTTGGAGATGCCCGGCAGCCTTCCCCACCTCGGGCCAGCTGTCTGCCAGTCATCACATAAATAGAAAGAAGTTGCTTTGCCTAACTGCTAATGCTTTTCAGGACTTTAAGCCCTATTTTGATCTAGACCCAGTCAGTGCTTCTGTGTTGCACAAGTCCGGGGTATTCTTCACATAAATACAATGTATTTACAGTGGGACGGGTGCCAGTTGGAGTTGGGCATCATGGTGGTTCAGCACCCAAATGATTGTGACCAAGCCCCTGTAGAATCTATGGGAAGTAATCTGTTGACAGTTCTGTAGGCCTAGAACCCATTTGTCACCGGCACTTTATTTTGGGAAATGTTCTTGGCGTGGGGTCTCAGAATGTCCTTGGTTCTCCGCAGATGCCTGCCATCGCTGCCGTCTCAAGCTTTGAGCCTAAGCGGTAGATGATTTGGCGTGTGTGCTTTGTACACGCACAAAATTGCTTTTACGAGAATGTGCATCCACCTTTAAAAGAAAAAGCCTTTGTTCATTGGTTCTTGGTCACTCCCTGAAAGAGACTGCCTTTGCTTCCCTAATACATGATGCTTCTGACTCATGGCATATGTGCTGAGCGCTCCATTGATTGCAGCTGTATGCCACCAAGATTATCTCCTACACACCCAGCTCAAGTAGCTCAAGTCATCGATTCATGAGGGACTAACTCCTGAACGTGCATTCATTTTTGCTTTCTCAAACACTTGAAGAAAACCAACATTTGCAGGAAATCTGTGGGCTGCTCCTGTATCTTTGCTTTGATAGGACCCGGTAGAGTCCCCTATAAAGAGCAAGTCCTTGTTACAGGGTTTTCGTGACGTGACTGACCCCATTTGGGTCACAGCTTTCATGGAAGTGCTGAACTGCCTATCTGGTTTTGAAAAGTGCATAGGAAACGCACAATACGTTCCACTGTCTGTTTCTGCAGTTTTTCTCCTTTTCATCGGAAATTTCTTTATCTTTCTTTTTAAAATCTGATAGCCCAAATGTAGCGTCAGACTCTGGTTTCTCCTGAAGTCCCATTTATTATGTAGATCCAAATTTGCCTAGACCAGAGTTCTCAAACCAGTGGCGCATGGGCTGGAGAAGGCTCACAGTGGGCCAGCAGGCATGCTTTGTTTTGACCCACACAGTGCCAATACTTAGAGTGATTTCGCATAAAAATTGAGCTCTCTAGCTTCTCAAGAAAAGATCTGGCCACACTGCTGGCACAATCTGGAATGGCGGTACTCCCCAGGAGCTGAGTAGCAGCTGCCCCTTTGACTCTCTGGGATGCCATTGGGATGCCTAATCATCAACAGCTTTCTCCCCCCATTGTCCTTTTCCGAATTGCGAGTCCGCCATATCTGGGTTTTATTTGAAATTTCTAATGGAAAGAACGGTTTAGGGAGATTTAGAAGACCTGAGTCTCCTGCAAGTAGCTATCTGACCTTGGGCTGGGTCAGCCATTCCCAACACTTGATCTACAGGCCGTTCGTGCATCTTCCATGGGAAAGGTGTAATGGACAGATACGTTTGGGGAATTCAGGGTCAAGTAAAGGTGAATTAGCTTCTTTAATGCAGGACTTCTCAGAACCTTTAATATGCTTGTGTGTATCAAGTCCTATAGGAGTTTGGGATGGGTGTTGTAAATATCCTGAAGTTATGTAATTTCATACTGTCTTTTCATAAAACCAAGTCACATTCTACAGATCAAATTTCAGGAAACGTTGAGCTAGATAATCTTAATAGTTCCTTCAAGCCCTTGAACATTCTGAGCTGTCATCTAGCTGGATCTGGAGGAAAAAAAAAAAATGGCCACAGCATTTTGCTTTCCATTATGTTTTTTTGGGGATCCTTTCGAACCCCCCCCCCCCCCCCCCGCCCATCTTTTCTGTGCAATCCTTTTACTCTGTCAAAAGTCATGTCTCTTGAAAATGTTTTGCATTTAGAGTTTTGTTATAGAGACACTTGGGAAAGAGCAGCCAATATTTCTTTCAGGGGCAGAAACTGTACTTTTATCCTCAAACCAGCTAATAGCAGATCACTTGCGAAACTGAGCGTGTTAATAGAAGTAGTGATGTGATTCGGATTGCCTGCCATTACTGGAAGATCTGCTGACCTCGGGGCCTCTTGCCTGG